AGAGCTTATATAAGTCTTTACATGGGGATAATTTATGTCAAAATAATATCATCGGAACGTTTCAGACTGCAGTTTATTTAGATATTTTAGTTTACTTACTTATTTATCATTTCTGCGGCCAATTGATTTCTTGGTAGTTTTGTAGTACGGCACTTTCTGCGTGAAAGGTAGCATTTTTGTAAAAAGATACAACTAATCAGTAGTGATGTTTATTTAGTTAAATTGTGAGATCGGAATTCAGGCCTTTTACGAAATTCCTTGAGATATATTTATAAAATTCAGTCAGAATTAAAAAAAAAGTAAGGGATAACGTTGATAATAATGAAATGGAGTTTAGCGATGGAGCTCATTTTGTACATGCGCAAATACAAATTTGACGTGAAAATCGAATTCACCTTCAGAACTTCAAAATGGGATGTAATAACGATATTACTTTTCAAATGCGTGACCTTTGACTGATCTCTAAATCAAATTCCATAGCCCTCGATAACCCATGAAATTGTTCTAATTGCGAAGGATTGCTGAATTTCGAGTGTATGAGTAAAACTGTAACATCTGAGCATCGTCAGCTTTCTATACGATGAAGTTTGCATAGGCATAGAAGGTATTGTCACTTAATATGACGTCTCTCAGCAAAATAGTTTGATGTCGTCTCTGTAACCTGTTCCAGCAGCTGAGATTTTCTTAATTAATTAGTTTTACATGAGCCTCGCAGAGAAGAATGCATAGCATCAAAAAGTTAAATAGATTAGAATCGAAAAAAAAATTAGTGGAAATAGCGTCATTAAATTTGTTAAATTGATTGTTAATTGCGCTTTTTTTTAATAAAGAGGATAGTTTCGATTTGGAGAATGATAAAACAATGCCATTCTGCCGTTAGTTCCGTGCAGCAATTCTGTTTGCATGTTTGCTTACTACTTGAGTACGCTTTATATGTAATGGCCTACCAGCGGCCGAGCGGTAAAGTACCTGAACACTGGTATTTCGATCTGGGTTTGAATCCCGGCGAATGAGCTGGCTGCATGAGCGTTTTCGTGGTTTTCCCCAGGTGTAATGTGTGTAAGAGCCAGTTTCCCATAGAACGTTCTCCACGTAGACGTACCTCCCCTTAGGTAGATAGCCATCGAGTGCTTTGCCGTACGTAACTAAATCATCGAAATTAAACTTTATGGGAAATGAACAAAATCATTTTGGTATAGAAAAGTAGAGTACAAAACAGGACTGAAAGCATACAGAAACTTTTCTATCAGAGCGTAGTATCTGAAAGGTAAAACATATAAAATTTACGTATATAAAGGTATATATAGGTATTTACGTATATATAGGAATTGATCAGCACGCTCGACGCGTATTCGAGAGGTCCGTGGTTCGAGTTCCGGGAAAGGCATTGCTTATTTTTCACGTCTTCTGCTTCCAAAAAAATCCTAATGTCTGTACAATATTAAATTAAAAAAAATAATCTGCTTAGCATTTTCCTATCTTATTTCATAGCTGGATTAACCATTAAGCTAAATGAGTATCATGGAGAGGGGCTACCATGAAACTTAGGGACATGGTAGTAAAAGTACTTAGGGACTCAAGAAAAGGAAGCATCATAAAAATTTCCCATTGAGTGATTTACTGTGGAATGTATGGTGTTGCTAAATTAAGATCGAGAGAGAAGGAATGAGAAAAAAAAAAAGAGGGGGCTAAATATATATATGAGTACCAAAATCGTTTAAGTACTTCGGCCTTTTCAAAGTACTAATCCCGTGTTGCCTTATTCTGAAACAATATGTCATCTCCGTGGCTGTCAGAGATCAATGATACAGACCGTCTCATTTAATCGAGCACAACACTCCAAAGAGGAAGGCTTGCAACGTTAAACTTGACAACAAAAAAGTATTCGGATGATATTTAGCGAATATGAACACTTTCTTAAATGAATTGAATATGCGCTCGTCGCAATAAAACTTTGCACACCAAGTAGTAATTTTGGCATCATAACGAAACTTTCCATGAAGGTACGTATCAGAAGATAGGCAAATGATCATAAATACAGCGTGATTGTATATTGCATAATGCCGTCAGAGGGCACTGAATTTCGTTCTCGCTGAGGCATAAAAAATATATACAGGCATTTTGAAGGTAGTTAATCTGTTGCAGATGGACCGCCTTTTCAGTAGGAATGCCGTTACAACCCATCGGTTTTTATATATGATCATACTGGATCCACTCTGCGTGAGAGAGCTCGAGATTGGAAGAATCAGTGGGAGGATGGAAATCGGATGCTCAGCTCAGCGAGCAGTAGACCACCTAGGCCGTCCTGAATCTACTATGAGGAGATTTTGGAGCCAGTGGCAAGAAAGGAGGTTGCATACCTAACAGTCAAATTCAGCATGGTCTCGAAATACTGTTGCCGAGTGTACTGTCATATCATCCGGTCACAAGCAGCCCTTTCATTACTGTCTTCTTGTATCTGTCTGTACCATTGCGAGGAGCCTGGTTTGAAGGACATGTGGCATCGTTTTAAGGGTGCTGCCAGTGACACCCACTGTCTAGACTGGCGTCTTGCTCAATAGGATTGTAAAGCTATCGAAAGGAACCATGTTGTCTTTAGTAGCGAATCGGGATTCAGTTTGGGAGAGACGACAACCGTGTATGTGTGTAGAGGCCCCATGATGAACACCTTAGCCTTGTCTTCACTTTACTCAGGCACACCGCTCCCACAGCTGGTGCACTGTTATGAGGTACTGTCACATCCGACATCCGGTTACCTCTAATATTGATCCACGGCACCAGGACAACCCAACAATGTGTTGATGACGTCTTTCAACCATATCTTTTGCCACTCATGGCAGGGCTTCTAATAGGCATTTTTCAACAATACAGTTCTCGGCCACGAACAGCAAGGGTGTTACAAAAATGCCTTTGCCACATTGCCACTCGTCCCTGGCCTGCCCGATCCTCAAATTTGTCACCGTTCGAGCACGTTGGAAGTAGAACGCAAGTTGAACATCCTAGGAATTTGGTCGAACTAGAAGCTCACTTACAGCAAGCGTGGAAGACGAAGGAGGATACCGTGCGAACCAGTATACTCCAATGTCCTCTCGTATGAGCAAATATTTCGTATGAACCTCTTGACTGCACTAGGTGTGTATCGTTACCATATCTATCAAACCATCGTATACCATATGATATACCATCATATACAAAGTATACAATATTGTTGTGTTTCTATGGGTTCGTGGATTTGGAGTGATTGACTTGAGGACAACACTTGATGAAGTATCAAAACACAATTTATTTACCAGTTTTATTCAGGACAAAACCAAAAACACGTTTACAGTCGCCGAAAAACTACGACACACACGCTGACACAATCAGCAATACAGCCTTCAGGCTATAACGGTGAAGAAACCTTCACGGCAAAGCACTAGAGTGCAGCTCCCGACTCGGTTCGATCGTTCTCGGAAGTCAACGTACTCTCCACGCTATAACTCGCGATGCACTCGGCGATACTCTCGATAGCCTCAACTATGCACACTCTCGTTGCACTGACGATACTAACCCCGCGTACAGGCAGAGTTTATATAGCTTTTGGCCTGCCTTCGAGAACATTTTGGGCCGAATCGGTAAGAATTCGTTCAAGAATGTTATCCATTGGTCTATGGCATATTGCCACTTTTGTCGTCAAATCGACGATTTCGTACCAAATATGGCAGCCCTGCCTTCCCTTCCTTTTTCTGGTAACCCTAAGCCTGCTTTGCTGAGAAGCTATCTTACCGCGGCTGGGCATTTCATAACAATATCGTATACCATATCTATCAAATTAGTAAATAGAAATGCTGTGATATTCAAAAGTTTTCATTAAAATGTTATGTTCATATTTATTTCCTAACATTATCTTTTAGATTAAAAAGTAAATAGTATTTTATCATATGAATGAATTTGTGATGTATAAAGCAGTTAATAAATATTAATTTCTGTATGTGGGTCTAGACACGTTATAACTGGGCGATATAAACCTTGGCGTATTTTTACTGTGCCGTGCAGTCCAGAACTTATATGAAGTCGAACATTCTTGCTTTCATAAAATAGTTTACGATATGTGAAAATAATGTTAAAATATTTACAGAACAAAGCATTTGATGATGGTGATTAATCCAGTAAAACATTCATTAATGATGGCTGAAGCAAATTTGAGTTATTCACTCACAAAAACATTTCAGAAATTCAAAATTTAAAGTTTTATTGTATGTAAATTAGTTGTATTCTTAGAAAGATAGTTTAAAATCTTTAAAATGACATACAACAGAACAATAAATTGATGTAAATATCATGTAAAACAATATTTAATAGATTACCATGTAAAGAAATGCTTTTAGTGTCTCTAACTTAAACTTATCCTTTATGCGAATTATCGCTTAGGAAATATTCAATAATAATATAAAATATTATCAAACAAATAAATTTTTTACTTTAAATTTTCGTTTTATTTTTACGAACTTAAACTATGTCTCTGCAACTCACAAAATAACAAAACTTTATACCTCGAATTATTTCTACCATTTACTAGTATCCACTGTATAACGGAAAATCTCTCTGCTCGAAATGCTGGTAGTTCGGTCCGAGGTTCGAATCCCGCGAACGGGCTGGCTGCATGGGCGTTTTCGTGGTTTTCCCCATGTGTAACGTGTATACGAGCCAGTTTCCCTTAGAAAGTCCTCCACGAAGGCATCCCTCCCCTTAGGCAGATAGCCCTAGTGTGCTTTGCCATAATTAAATACACACACACACACACTCTGCTCGAAATATTTAAATCATTCATGTTTGGAAAATTAGCGAAAAATAAATAAAATTTTACATATAATTAATTCATTACATTACATACTCATTAAATTAATGCTATTTATTTAAATAAATGTGTAATTTGGTATATTTATCATAAGTATGTATATATTAATAGATGAAATTATGAGGACAGTAATTAAGAAAGTAATGTGTAAGAAATAATAATGTTTATTGCATTTAGTCGCTATTAAAAATTAGGTTGTTATGAAACATTGTTTCCTAAATAAACATTATTTCCAGTATTAAATTATAGGATTTGTGAATACATGTAAATCTTTTCCTTATTACGAGTTAGTCAAAACTATGCTATCGTTTACTTTATTGTGAATCACTTTATTATTACAGAAAAGGAAAATATTAATTTTTAATGAAATGCTAAGCCCAGAACATACGAATTTGAGTTCTGACTGGTTTTGCGTTAAATTTTCTTTTGCTTTCCCTAAATTAATTAAAAATATGAAATTGAATAAAGGATTAATAAAATTTTCAATTGATATTCTTCATTAAAATGATTACATCAAAATAAGCAATCTGTAATGTGTGTGTTAAAAACATATTTTATTATAATATTCAACCAAATTCATCAGTTGGGGTAATTACAATCCATTTAGATATTTTAACCGAGAAACAAACATGGGTTATTCTAACTTTCATGGGGAAAATAATTTCAGTACTAAAATATACATAGAGTCCACTAGCGGCCGAGCGGTAAAGTCGCTGAATATTGGTAGTTCAGTCCCTGATAGAAAGTCCTCCACGAAGGCATCTCTACCCTAAGGCAGGTAGCCCTCGAGTGCTTTGCCATAAACAAATAAACCAAACCAAATTATACCAAGAAATACACAATAAACACATTTTAAAGGTAAGTGTAAAAAATAGTTTGAACCAACTAAGAAAAATCAAAGTTTAATATTCATTGTGTAAGTTATTACCAAAACTGTTTCATAAGATAGAATATTCGTGATGTGGAATACTATAACAAATGATTAAAAAAATGATAATAAATCTGTATTTATCTTAATCACGATTGTAATTAAGATTACTATATCCGGGTACCAATTGAGTCTGATCATTCAGGCAAAATATGATCCAGGCTCATTAAACGCTCATAGCTTTCCCTTTCTTTAATTAGAAAAATTTTATCTCCGTCAATTAGAACTTCGGGGGCTCTTGGTCGACTAGAAAAGTTCGATGTTATGGCGCTGCCATACGCCCCAACTGCCATCACAGCTAGTAGATCCCCTTGAAGAAGTTGTAGTTTTCGATTGAATCCCATGAAGTCAGATCCCTCGCACAACGGACCAACAATATCAAAAACTCTGGGTTCTACATCAGTTCTGTCTTTAACGTTAATAATTTGATGATAGCCATCATAAAGCGCAGGCCGAATAAAATCATTCATGGCGGCATTTACAACCGCAAAAAGCTTATGTGGCATTTGTTTGATATACTGCACTTCCGTTAGTAATACTCCAGATTCGGCCATGACTATCCTGCCAGGTTCTAGTACCAGTTCTAGCCCCGTTGAAGTTACAGTGCTTGATAATTCCTTCAGCCATTTATCCCATTTGAGCTCGGGGTCGTCTTCGTGATATCGCACTCCAAAACCACCTCCAATATCGAAAAATTTCAAAAAAATACCTCTCTTTTTCAGTTTTTCAACGAATGATAGAACTGAAGAAATAGCTTTCTGGTAAGGCTCTATTTCCTTGATCTGAGAACCGATGTGGCAATGAATACCAACCATGGAAAGGTGCGTTGATGCATTGCCCATCACATAGAGGTCTTCCGCTTCTTCTAAAGGAACACCAAATTTGGTGTTACACGAACCCGTTGCGATATAGTCGTGAGTCTGTGTCGCGATGTCAGCATTCACGCGTAGAGCAACCGGTGCGACAACCCCCTTCGCTTTAGCCAGTGTTTCGATCCTCTTTAATTCTTGATGACTCTCCACATGGAAACAACCAACTCCAACATCCAGTGCATAACTAATCTCACTTTCAGACTTCCCGACTCCGGTGAAAACGACGCGTGATGTATCGGCACCAATTTTCACTACCCGGCGTAATTCTCCTTCAGAAGCGACGTCGAAAGATATACCCTCCCGCCTCAGGAGGTCCAAAATTGCTAAATTGAAATTGCATTTGACAGGATAACAGATCCTGGCAGGCAATCCGCTCAATGCACAACGGAGGAAATTCAAACGCTCGATGACCTTCGCACGTGAATAAACGTAAACCGGAGTTCCGAATGTCTCTGCCACATGACGCAGCGGAGTGTTTTCAACGTGAAGTTCTTTTTCCTTGTAGTATATCACTGGCATCATTTCAGCCGAAAACCAGTTTTCTACAGAGGAAATTCTAATCAGTTCTATTAAACGTTCCTGCGGTCAGAACAAAAGGCTCCCTTTGAGCGAAGAGCTCAGCTTAGTCAACAGTTTCGTGCTTTTATCTCAGCTGGGTAAGCAGTTTTTTTTTTTTTTTTTTTTTTTTTTTTCTTTCCCCGTAAGAAATCTACCTTTCTAATAGGCGGACTTTGAACGTATTCTTGATTAGAGCGTATACAGATATGCATTCAATCCCAGTATCTCCACATGATATTTCTTTGAATGAATTCAAATCATATCTAAAGGAGATATCGAATCTTATAATATTTATCGGAAATAAAGCTCAATTCTTATCATCAGAAGCTCAATTTCTTATCATCAAAATAATTTACCTGATACTGGCCTATCATACTTCTCTTCATAAACTTCTGTCGGCTTCTGATTTTTCGAGTTCTACAGGGTATAGAATCCAGTCATTAATTAAAAACATATTTATTGAAATTTCTTTGTAATTGTTACTAATGAATACAGTTTAGTTAGCATATTATTGTCATGAATAAGAAAAAGAGTTGTAATTTATTGTTATTAGGTTAAGTTTTTAACTTTTGATATTGGAATATATATAATATCGTTTTGAAACATTTGATATAAAAAATTATGAAACTCTTAAAAAATATCAAAAAAATTATTCAAAAAGAATAGTGAAATATGCTTACGCATTTTTAAAAGGGTATAAACGCATATAATCTAGATTTTTTAAAAAATATTTAATGACTTTTTAGATCAACATATAAATTTCTTTCTCTCAGTTTTTAGCCCAATAGGCTATTAGTCTGGAAACACGATTTTGCGTTGTTTCAATTTCATTCCAGTCTGCTGCCATTCGAAAAATCTTAAACTATTATTCTTTTATATTTAATCTGTTTGTGATTAATTAGCAAAGTAAACTATTTAAAAGCAACATATGCAGCTCTTAAAAACATTATTTTTGGATCTGTTTGATTTTAAAAAATGCATTTAATTCGTGATATATATAATTAAAAACATTAAATATTTTTATAGAATTACATTACACACTTTTCCACTTTTTAAATATACAGAAAATTTATAACTTTCCCATTTTAATCTACATGCATGTTTGCAAAACTTAAGTTTTTGTCTTTTATTATTAACGTTTTGTGTGTTACATTTATTAATTAAATACCATGTTCTTCTCACTTGCGCCACATACAATTCAGTTGAATAGCAAAACTCACAAAATATTTAACAGCAGCATATCTTTAGAATTTCCGATATACAGTCTCGCGAGCGAGCGATAACAATGTTTAATCTGTACAGTATTGCCACTTCTCGCTTTTAAATCCTCGAGTTTGTTAAAAACTCATTAAAGTTTTACAAAATATGAAATATAAAATTGGAAATTCAAAATTTGAGTTGCCAGATGCACGTGTTCGGGTAGAGGGCTACGCTATTAAAAATTTGGTGGCGCTAGGTACCGTCATGTTTTCACAGTAGATTCTTCATTATTTATTTAATTTCTTTAAAAATAATACAGGACGATAATATTTGGTGGCAACAACTTGGAAAGTGATTTGTTGTTTATAATTAACGACGCCAAATCCCATTTTGGCTAATAATTCTTTCTGTAAATGAAAGCTATATTTGATGAAGAAGACTCATCAAGAAATTATTAAAAAGAAAGCTAAGCTGAACTTAAAAAAAAATAAGGCAAATTTCACTTTTAAGTCTTCGTGGTCCTATTAGCCAAGTTTTTATCAAAGGGAACCATTATTTGTAATAGATGCCCAAATCAGCTAGAACTTTTGGATCTCATTCAACTTGAAGTAATATTTTTTGTTTCCCAAAAATATATTAAATGAAGGAAACATTTGTAACGCATGTTTATGTCTTCAATTTTTTTTCCTCTGTTCTTAAAGCTAAAATACCTGATAGATATAAAACAAAGTTGTCATTATCTTTAGAGAGATACTTTTAGTCAAATTGTGAGCTTTACAAAAGAGTCACAGAAATATACAAACTACAAAACTAGGAATGAGAATTTAAATCCTGGAATTCCACGCATCTTAAAAACGATTCGAGATTCGAAAAGTCGAATCTTCGCACTTTTGGCTATCATTTGAATCTTTCGAATACTGATTTTAAAAACATTTAAGTGTTTAAGTAACAGATTTTAGAAAAGTTAGTTTTAGTGATTAGTTATTATATTTGTCGCCCAGATGGGAAAGTGGTTAGCGATTCTCCGTCCCCTTCATAGGAGGCAATGGTGGCCCACCTATTAAGTGCTTCTATAATAAAGAGATCCCCCATCCGACCTTAAGGAATGGCCAACGCCTATAAACGGCTTTTTAACATTTTATTAGTCCAAAGGGATTTCAGTCCCGAAGGACTATTGCTTTTGTTTTGGCATTTTGCGTCGGACTCATAAACGTCGGTTCACTTTTCAAACTGTTGCCACAAAATCGTAGAGTCCTGCATTATATTTGAAGAAATTAAATAATGAAAAATCTGCATAAATGATTGTCTATTTCTCGCATTGTGATAAAACAATGGTACATAGAGCCATCGAATTTTGATGACGAAATCCTACTGCGAATATGGGCATCTGAAATCCCAAATTTGGAATTTGTTTTATTATAGATTATATATTTTGTAAAACTTTAACGAATTTTTGATTTACAAACTCAATGCTTTAAAAGCGAGAAATGGCAACGTTATATAGAAAAAAAATACTTTTATCTCCAGCTCGCGAGACTGTGTATATCGGAAATTCTAAAGATATGCTTAATTTAACATTATTTTGCGATATTGCTCTTAAACTGAATTTTATGGTTTAAGTGCAAAGAACATGATATTTAATAAATAAAGGTAACACTCAAAACGTTAAAAAAACGCCCCTTTAGACGTAATTTAAAATCTGAAAAATTTCAGATTTTTTTTTTAAATTTTAAATTTTAATTAAAATGTTATAATTTATTTTTTTAAAATAAAGTTACACAAGAGTAATTGCAGATTTAGCAAAATATGTTTGCTAAATGTAATATTGTATAGATATAGATAATTTGATTTTAAGGAACTTACGTTTACTCCTTTGCCTCCGGTGAAAAAAGGACCTAGGCGCAACTCTCTCCAGCGGTTTTGTTCATTCAGCCACATAGGGGTTTAAGGAGCACAAATTTAAAATCATTGACTTATACGGTTTCTTCGATTTCTTCTTCGTCTCGTACCCTAAATACTCCTAAGTAGCATTTTTACATTTTTGTTACAAGTAAAAACTGCCTTTAACAAAAATGTAACTACAAACTAACAAAAATGTAACTAAAGTGCTACTTAGGACTATTTTCTTCCTTGAAATAAAGGAAGCATTGTAATCGCGAAAAACTTCGAGTATCATATTTCATCGAAAATATCGAAAAAATCTATTTTGACCGCTGTCGAATCCATTTGAGCGATGTTTTTGTGTGACAACTGTACGTACGGATAGAATAAAGGATTTTTTTTAAATTTTTTTATCAAAAACGAATTGTAAAATAGATTTTAAAAGGATTCAGAAAAGAATTTTTCGTGACGTAGCTACGTACGTACGTATGTATCTCGCATAACTCGAAAACGAGAGGCGTCAGAACGTTCAAAATTTTGTGTATGGTGTATTTGTGTATGCAAGATTAGTGTGTGTATTTGTGTATGCAAAATTTTATGTATTTGTGTATGTAAAGTTAGAGTGGTATTAAGCCTAACGAAGTCGCCATTTGTTTACATTTGAAACTCTTGGTAGAATAGTAAATTACTTCAGTTATGCACCAAATTGGAGTGCTTTTTGCCGAGTGGGACCAAAAGAAACTTTCAGTTTGGTGCACCGAAAAACATGTATTTCTGCCCGCTGGCAAAATTGCTTGTTTTTGGCGTAGAAACTCTAATTTTAACTGCAAAAATTGTTTTTAGCCCAAAGGAGCGTTGCTATTAAACTCGTTTTGGCACTTTGCGTTGATTCACTGTACATGTCCGTATCGCTTTTCAAACTGTTGCCAACAAATATTATCGCTTTGTGTTATATTTAAAGAAATAAAATAATGAAGAATTTGCATAAATGTATGTATGTTTCTTGCATTGTGATAAAACAACGGTACCTAGAGCCCTCCAATTTTAAATAACGTAATTCTCCTCCGAATATGGGCATGGAAGACCAATTTTGGAATTTGGATTTGTTTTATTATCGATTTCATATTTTGCAACACTTTCACGAATTTTTGATTAAGAAACTCCAAGATTTCAAAGCGAGCAATGGCAACACTGTACGAAAAAAAAAAAATTATCTCCAGTGGGCGAGACTGTGTATCCGAAATTCTAAAGATATGCTCATTTTAAAATTATTTTGCGATATTGCTGTTGAATTGAATTTTATGATTTAAGTGCGAACAACATGATATTTAATGGATAAAAGTCACACAGAAAACGTTAAAAAACGCGTAATGTAAAATCTGAAAGCTTTCAGTTTTTTTTTTTTTTTTTTTTTTTTAACTGCATTTGGCGTTTTATATTTTTCTGTGTTTTACGATTTTTAATGAAAATGTTTTGAGTTTTAATGTATTTTTTGCCTCGTCGCGAAGTGAGAACTGAATTAATTCAATGAGAAATATATCTCTAATGAAATTCGAGGAAATAAGTTAAAATGAAATGCAGCAAAAAATATGCATAATTTGATAGGCAGCGTAGAAGGAAGTCACGTGTTGTCCACATCAGATTTTTTTAATGTCTGTATTTAAACTATCAATTTAATATGGTAAATGCTGAATCCCGAATTTCACCGCTGTTTTAAGTTATGAAAAAAGAAGCACTTTTGATCCAGAAAATAATTAGTAATGTCTGGAAATTTCGACTTATATTGAGTGCTTAATTGATTAAAGCAAAACATGTGAAATTAACTGGTTAAAGATGAAGTGGAGGACTATTTAATTTTCACGTTGGATTTATCTTTGGTAGTTACGGTAGATCATTTTGATTTAGATATTGTCATTCAGAAAAATAAATTTTTATAAATATCTAACATTTATTATTAGATAACTTGGTATATTATAAAGATGGCTATAATTCCAAT